TTGGAGACAGTAGCTTTTTTTAACACTCCTCATTAGAAGTTAAAGAATAGGGCGTTTCATTCAACAAGATAATTGTCTCCTATAATAAAGAAAAAAAAATCTGTCAAACCTCCAGTACGAGTGAGACACCAATGTAGGCCAAAATCCTACAAAATCTAGCTCTGTGCCTTTGTCAAACGTGTTTACAAATCTGTTACCTCCAATCGTTTCGCATTTAAGCCACAGGACCATCACCTGACATTTAGAAATACACGCACCGCGAGAAGAATGTTACGTTTGTTTTACTAGTGTTGTCGTTGTTGATTGTTTGTTTGTCTTTTGTAGGCGTAACATTACAATTAGTTTGCAACCAAACATTACAGAATGAGTTAAACTGTTTTTTCATGTTAATTTATTTTCTATCGTGAGGTATGCCGAAGTTATATGTCAAGGGAAAAATTAAAACTAGATTTAATTAAGCGTTAAAGAAAGCGTTGCATGTCTTAAATGATTTGGAAAGGAGGTGGTACTCACAATGAATGTAAAACATGATGAATTAATTCAAACGGCTAAGGCGATGAAGTAGCACGGAATTCAGTTCTTTCACTTTAATTTCAATTTTTGTTACTTCCTAAATATTTGTAGAGATTTTCTTTGAGTATGAATCATGTCAAACGAATTTATAGTCCTCGATTCATCCATCAAGAGTTGAATTTTATGTTACTGTTGGTCATAATTGTTTTTTTCTTTTTTTGATGAATGTTTGTTTGTCGTTAGTAACCTTGAGGTTAATCATCAGTTGGTTCCGTAATAAGACTTGGAAACGCCGAATTATAAATAGCTCCAACAACATCCTCAATTAAGTATTTGTTTGTCCGCCATAAACTTAAAAAATGAATCCTTGACAATGGAGGACTTTGAAGCCAAATTGACTGGAACTTACATCTTATAATTTTCGTGCTTGAATTCAGTCAGTCACTTCCATTCGCTCCTCCTCTAAATCCTCCCACCTTACACATTGAAAATCTGGTTAACTGCTGTTTCATATTTAGATTTTATTTTTGTATTAGGCCCTGGAATGAGAATGTCTTTCATTTCTTGCTTTTACCTGAAATTAGTGTCCACTAAAACGGTGCAACGTCACTCTTGGCCATTTTTGAGAGCACGACAGCCTTCAACTTGCCAAAGATAAGTTTGTAGCTCTTTACGACGTAGTTTTACCAGGCACGTCTTGGCCCTACATCGCCTCTCTTTGTAATTTGTTGTCTGCAGTTGAGATATTGTTCACTAAGTACGAAAATTACAATTTGTACAACGTTTAAATTTTGGAATGCAATTCGCCCAGCGTGAAAGGTCAACGTCATGTGATGTTTTAAAAATTAGGCATGTAACTTCAATCAAAACATTGATTGCAAATGGTTTAATTACATGTGTCAAAAACTATCAGACTCGTCTTGTGCAGAGTACTCGTGTAAAAAAAGGTTAGTTTTCACACATAAGGAAAGCCGATACCCAAAATAGAGTTGTTTGTAATAATGTGTTTCAATTTGCATGAAAGGTGTGAGACATATTGTTTTAAACAGCAGGAGATATTACCAGCTTCTTTGCATTTGACGCAAACCTTTTCGTGTAAGACAAGCAAGATAGTTTTCTTTGAAAACGAAGAAAGTGGGAATTAAGCCGATGAATTATTTAGTGCATCACAACAAGGTAGAGCCGGATTACGAAGTATTTGTATTTACCGCAAAACCATGTTGTCAAACAGCGGCCTTCGTTTCCATGATCGATTATGATAGGAAGAATTGCAGGTGAAGGTAAGCCATGTGAAAGTGCGCAAAACTTTCATAACTTTAAACTGAAAAAACTTTCATGTCTAAATCTATTTTGGTCAGTTGATATTAAAGGCCTTAAGAATTTGAATATATTTAGAGAATTCTTAAAGCAATTCCTCAATGCCATAATTAAGAAATAGGCTTGAAAAAGCTATTCCGGCGGTCTGGCTAAATCGAAAACTTTCATGACAGCTGTCATTTTCAATTCATGCTCGTGTCACAAATTGTCTCAATATAAGTACGTATACAAGCATTTTGTATCGAAAATTGAAATTGCGACAGCTATAACGAGTTTCAAATCATAATTCAAGAGTTAATGATTCTATGCGGTTCACGATCGTTCCCACCAATTATATTCATCTGACTTTTCTTTCATTACTTGTGGTCATCAAAAAAGTTTTGTTTTTGTCAGCTTATTATATTATGAAAAATAGTAATCTTTGTTTCCATGGTTTACCGCCGCCGTAAAGTACATTATTTGACTTTCGGATGGAGAAGATTTAAGTTCATTTTTTAATTTGTGGAGAAATCAGTGATGAAAATGTCAATTTGTTTTCAACCTAAAACACACAATACAATTTTTATCTGTCATCTTATTATTTTTTTTTCAAAAAAAGCTTAACTTCTACGAACGCAATGATTGATCCCAATTAATATGCTACTCACGAGTACTTGTTTGCAAACTGTTTTGTCTGAATTGGCGCTCAGAGGTGTTGAGAACTTCGGCAGATTAGCAAAGAAAATTACCTTTAATTCTTCTGATTGACGACCAGTCACGTTCGCTTTTCATCCATTTATGTCTGTTTCGTCGGGTATAAACGATTCATCAAAAAGATGAATTCTGAGGCTCCGACTAACACTTAGCTTTGTGCATTCTTGTTTAAAACATTAGGCAGCTGGTTCCTCTACTCTCTCAAAAGCTCCTTCCAAAGGAGAGTAAACAACTTGAAACGACGATTCATTCCATGAATTGGTCAAATCTGCTTCTTTGTTATCACTAATGGTATTCTTAGACTCGCGCCTTTATGAAAATGTGGCGTTTAGAAAGTAACGTTCTCTAACTCTGGAATATCCTTAAAAAATCATTAAAGCTGTCGGGATTTCTAATCCACATGCACGATTGCTGCATCACTCATTAACCCTTTAACTCTCAGGAGTAGTTGACTTGTAACTTCTCTTCCACAATATCCATACATTATTCAGCAAACAAGCGATGAGAATACTCAAACATATCAGGTAGAAATTGTTGATTCGACACCAAATTCTAATTTACAAGGAAATGAATAGCAGGTAGAAGGGAGAATTAGCAATCAGATCTTGAGACTCAAAGGCTTAAGCCTTACATTGACTTTCGTTTCCTTCCCGTGTTCGCGAGCTTTGGCTCTGGTAACTGTAACTATTGATCGTAATTGTAACGTAATTCAGCGAAAACTCAGTTCAAAAGTGGATGTGTACATCCAGTTCATAGCTTTAACCACAAGAACAAGTTCCTGCGTCGCGAAATAAGATGAGTCCTTGACAATCTTATATTAGTAATTTCTTTTCAATTACTCCAGACTCTCTCTCTTTTTTAACTGTAAGCGGGATTGAGTTTTACTTTTAATTGCGAGTCAAATCACTTGTGTCAATCGAGTTGCGTGATAGTGCAGTAGACAGCAACAGTCCTTCAGTAAAGAATTTGTAGTCGGTCAAGGAGACTGACGTTTCTTCAACCTGATCGGAAGTTAAGTTTGACTACAACTATGACTTCCGCTCAGGTAGCGGCTAAGTAATCTGCGGCAGTACAAGCATTTTTTCAGAAGAATCCGATTTCCACGACAATTCTTTCGTTTTCTCACCGCCAGTTATAAGAAATAAACAGACACGGTGCCTGAAGTTATTTTTTTTAGCCTGTACCTTTTTCAGCTTTATTGTCGAATGACAAAAAAAGAAAAACTTCATATTTGCATATGACGCTACATCAATTCGGAATCGAAAAGACACGGTGCAAGATGACCTCGTATCCAATTTCAGCAGCAGAACTCCCCTAGAAAAAAATGTCGTTTATGCTTTTAATAAACAAGTGCTTTTATTTCAATTAAGGACTCTGAAGAAAGACATGAAGCGTTCGCGGAAGCCAATTAAGAAGGTAGGTTTAATTTCGTATTAATTTTAAATTCACTTGACTGGTGCTTCACGATTGCGCATGTTCCTGTCATGTACAATCAGTTACAGGTATTTTATATCTGAGTATTGGATAACGGCTCACATAGGTAAACGAATACCATCCAAACATTTTCTTTACAAAAAATGGGTGATATTTCACAAAGAGAGAAAAAAATTCTCCCCGTGACATTGATGTTAGCCTGGGGTTCCAGCGTAGCCAGATAGTCGCCGTGAAATGTCATCCACACGCGTTCAAATTGATTTATTTATTTTAAACAACTATTAGAATTATCAATACATTAACAAGCTCACGAAATATTGTTTCTATGCTTCCGTTTCTCAAGTGTTTCAACTTCCTGATTATCCAATTTATAATATTAATCTTAACGTCGGATAAGCGTATTTTTGGTTATTAATATATTGTGTTACAGTATGTGAAGAACTTGCTAAAGAGCACGTTCTTTACCTGAAAAACTTTTAAGCTCTGTTTTTCTCTATAATGCCCCCTGAGTGGCTCACCGGCCCCGCAGTCTTCCTCTGTTTATCTCTTGTGCGCCAACATTGGAGATGAAAACAGAATGAATCTACCAATCACTTCTAGCACTTTGAAAATCCATGTGGACATCAGTTTGTTGTTAATAAGGTTTACAGTAGCTGCTGAGATAAAATGAATTAGACAAGACGGAAAGGAACTGTATAAATTTGTTTTGGCGCCAGTGATTTCAAGTCAATATATTTTCCTCAGTTTATGTCCGTTGTGTATGGCCGTACTTCTTCGCCGTGTCAACGAACTCCGGCGCTCATATTTCTTAGCCAAACGTAATGACAATTCATTCATAACTTATTACCGCATTTGTAATCAGAATCAGAATCAACAAGCACGTCGAGTTCCAGCACGTTTTAGTCTATTTCCGCAGAGTTAGGGAGTTTAGACAATTTCTTATTCGTGAACGGGGCCAATACCTGAAAGACTTGCACATGTAACTCAATATAATTTAATACCGTTCCTGGCGGCAGGTACATCTTTTGTCACAATGTAAACAACAGCAATAAATGCTAACTGTCAGTAATGGATCTTCCTGTATTTGGTTCAAATTTCATCTCCACATGCAAAGTAATTTCGGCGAAATCTTCTCGAGTGACGCACTCGTTTTTTTTGTCTTGCACGTTTTCAAATCTTAGGACCTTCGAAGCGTCATGACAAATTTGCACGTTCTTCTTGTGTGTATCAGTTAACGTATATCGGGCAAATTCACAATAAGGCAGTTCGTTATGAAGAAAAATAATCGAGATCTTCGCAAAAATAAGGTAAGACTATACAAAATTATGTTCTTGTGTTATGTTTAGTTAACGAATTATTGTTTTTAAACACACCAGGCGGCAGGAATTACCGAAAGTAGAACTTCCTTTATTATCTCAGGGAGCTACATGTGTCAGTATGAGAAGTAATTAAGTGGATTTAATGGAAAGAGAACAAAGTGTCTCAATAATATATTTTATGTTTCATGTACTTGTAAAACATGTAGCATCAGTGACATAGAAACAACTTCATTGCAATTTTTCTATTGGTTAGGCGACACCAGTACCTCATGAGAAGGCTAGCACCCCCACAAAGGTTTGTCATTGTGTTTAAAATCCTACTCATTCAAAAAAAGTTGATTTAAAAGCGCATTTTCTTCATTGTAATATGCTAGGACTCTCTGACTTTCAGTTTAATATACAGAGGAAATAATCTTATCAATTCGCTTTTTTATTGATTTTACACCTTGCGTTCTGCTATCATGAGGTCGCTTTACACTTTATCCTTAGCAAAATATATTCCAGTTTAATTGAACTCTCAAGAGAACAACGAAAATCGGAAAATGTTGCCAGCACAACAATAAATTTATTATAAACTAACTGTTTCAGTGGAAATAATAAAAATACTCTATCGACCGAGGAAATATTTCGGATGCAGTTTTTATTGAAAAGATGCATGGTTTTCCCGATCTTTCCAAACATTTATTCTAAGTGTATATCGCGAAGAATGTCTTAGTTTCCTGCACTCGTAATGTGTTAGTTCGCACGGATATGATCTCAAAGAGTAGTAAATAACCTCATATATAATTCGCCGGGTGAAGAGGCGACAACAGATGTCCAGATACACGGCAAAATTAATTTTGGATGAGGCTCGAGTTTTGGAAAGGTTTGACCTGGTTTAAAGCACACATGAAGCTAGCGCTTGACCTTGACAGACAATTTTATGGGAATGAAAGTATCAAAAGCGTCATTTGTTAAGGAAACTATCCCTATAAAAAAATGAAATATATGAAAATTACAGCGTAGCACGGACGTGCGGTTTCCTGACGTAAGCAAGCATCTTATGCTTGTCAATAATTGCCTCGACAAATGTTTTATTAACGAGGAGAAACGTGCCATAGTTTTTCGCGTTTCTCTTCTCGACTGCGGTTTTTTTTGTATGGTCAATATCGTGTGGCCAATACTGAATCCTGATCGCCCTGTCACGCTGATATTTATAATGATGATGAGTAGAGTTTCTTCTTTTGTGTTGTCTCAATGGGCTGTTTTTTCTCCTGATTTAACTCTGCATTGCAAGGCAAGGGTTCGAGCCGTGGCCGGGTTACTAAGTTGCGCCCGTGGGCAAGACAGTGTATTCTCATTAGCTACCCGACCATACTGTCTCGGAAACTTGACGACTTTTTATGATTGATGCACGCCCTCTGGGCTGCCACCTGCAGTTGCCCTTGAGGTGGTTCTCTGGTGAGAAACGTTTGCCGCCTTTTCGCGAATTAAATCTTTCAGTTCAGCATGAAGAAAAGCAATTGTTGTCCGAAGAGAGGTGAGGTATGTAATGATATACATAAAAAAAAATACGCGCTTCTGATTATTTCGGGTAAGAGCAAATTTTAGTCGTGCTTATAAATACCAAATTTCAGTCGAAATCTTGTTATTACCGACGCGAAACATAGCTGTTTTTTGGAGCAATTTTAAAATTGTTAGTTTGCCTCTTAAAAGCTCAACAATGACAAATTTTTAGGTGTAGAGCTAGGTTGCCGGAGGTAAAAACAAACCTTAATTAACCCCCTTTGATGTTATCACATATAAAAATATATCATTCAATTGACATTTGCATTATTCAATTTGTATTCTGTCTTCGCTGCACGGTCCTCATGCTAAAAATAGTGTTTTTATAAGCCTAAGTCAACGGCTTTGAACCCACGTAGGAAAGCATGCAAGCGCTCGATCAAATGCGAAAAGTAAAAAAAAACATCGGACATCGAATGGATACATTGCAGAAGCTTTCATTTGAGACACTCGTTTTTGACCCTGCAGTGTTGTTGTAGTTGAAAGGAGACAACAAGTTTAGATACAATAGACCACCTGTACTGTTTTACAATCCATATCGTACTTTCTGATCCCTTCCCCAGATCTATCTGTTAGCATAAGTCGTCGACAAATTATGTTCAATGCAATGCATTTTTTTTATTTTGGTTTTGTAGTCTTGGTAACCAACAAGGCTTCAACTGACAACAATAAGACAGAGCTAGAATCGTTGCTCACCTCTTTCTAAAGAAAAATTTAGAACAGTCAGATCCTCCCTCATTTTTAGAGGAGTATGACCGCTCGCTATCATGGAGAAATTCTCCGTAACCATAGGTACTTTTTATGGGCTTTCTGCGCCAATGGATTACGTGACTTACTTTTCTCTCAGTAAAAATACACTTTTTTTCACGAGAAGCAAGATGCAAATGTGTCTTTTGGAAACGGACGATTCTTCAAACCTCAGAGAAAATAAAGACACACCACAAATGTAGTACTATGGTCTGAAAGGTCAGGTCTCGCCACCCATGTATGCTTGCAAGACGTCACCACTTGCTTTGTTGATTTCAGTATTTGCCTAAACGAAAAAAACGCTTAAGCCATGCTATACTACAACTAACAAAGGCTAAACAACATTTCGCTTGTCTGGTCCTTTTTATTTTTTGCAGTTATTCGTCCCGTAAAAGCGAAAGGAATCTATCATCAAATGTTTTTATGCATGTCCACACAAAGCGTTCTTGTTTTTCAATTAAAAAAGTAGACATCAATTTAGGGGGGGATCGTTAGTGTGTCTCTGTTGCGCCTGTCGAGTTAGCGTCACAGAAACAAACCAAAGTAACAGCGGCCAATACGAAAAAAAGAGAACGACAAAATTAGCCAACGACATCTCAAAGTGAAAGCGTGAAAACTGCTTGAAACGCGGGAAAACATAAGTGATCAAGTCGCGTTTGGTTTTAGGTTTGAGTCTGACACGAGTTTTCTGGACCAATCATAGAGCGAAATAAACCAAAACCTAGATAATCATGCGTAACGTTTGGCACCTGATCGAAAATTGCTCGGATATTGCTCACCCTTTGACCTCCATTTTCCTTTTGGTCTTGGGTTAACTCTGTAATCTTTTTCCTTTTAAGAAAGCAGTTTCTATTTACCAAAGGGACTAAGGGTGCTTTCTGGGTGGCCCTTCTGTATGTCATCTGGCTCCAGCTACAGTTGCTTGATAGATAAACAGAGCATTTGACCAATTTCCCAATATTGGACATAAGTTCTAAATTCTCCCGTCAACTTAAGTAAACTGATGAGCAAACAAATATTTGAATGCCTTCTAATCATAACGAGCTAAGGTGTATTTGGTTTTAGACTTCATGAGTTGCAATTCGCTGAATAATTGAATAGTTATCATAAGGGAATTTCTCTTGGTTACTACCTTTTCTCTTTATCTTTCTGCTCTTCGAGATTTTCTTGTGATTCCAGATCGAGAGATGAAATGAATTCCTAAGGAAGGACGCTTTATCGTTGGTCTTTCCTTTTTTTTTGAAGAAATGTGTCATCGTTTGCCGCCTCTCACCATCGTCTCCGCATTGAAATCTCGCTCATTGGCTCAATAGCACCAATTTTAGGTCCTGTTGGCCGTCAGGATGAACTAATGTTGTCTTTATATCTGCTGCTTTTGCTTAAGTAATTAATTCAGTGATTTTATCCTCTCTTTTTCAACTTTTTCGATTTTAACTATGACATTATGTCATAGGCACACCAGATTTTTGTCGAGGAGTTGGGTTTTCCTCCATTCAAGTCGTTCTCTTCCTTTACAGCTGTGATCGTTTCGTGTGTATGTTAAGAAAATTTAACTCACTTTCTTTTTTCTTCTTTCACGTGAAAAACTAGTCCTAACTTATTTTGTTATTTCATTGGTAGCTCCTTCTTAATGATGCTCGTTACTGACAACACTAATGCAAATACTTCCCCGATCTCGGCCCTAATGAGGAAACCAATTAGTCTGTTTGCTAGCATTCAATATTCATTGAAACGTCTTCAAATAGTTCTTAGAGCTTAGTTTTTTTTTAATTATTTTTACATCAAGACAATAGCGGGAAACTTCGAGAGAAACTGGTATCTAGAAAAAACTGAATTTATATCCGACGCGTGATGCCTCATCAAAGTTTCATCAAATTCATTCGTGAAACATGCAATAAGGACGAGCACTAACACTGCAGTAATGTCTGTACGTTTCCGGCTTTCAAATTTTATGGTTAAATTTCCCTTTAGGTCATTTAAACGTAAAACTGTTTTTCTCTTGCAGAGGATGAGTGCGTCAGCGCTGGCTTCAAAGATGTTCCAGGCAATCAGCGAATGCGACAGAGATACGCTGAAGGAACTTCTGGAAGAACAGCCCGCCCAACTAAACGACATCAAAACGGTAGATAAGAACTTTGGCAACGTTTTTTAAAATTCTTCTCGTGACAAGTTAAGACTACATTTAAGTAGTTTGTTTTCGCATTTTTTATGCACGCTGTGCGTCCATGAATACGTCTTTCATTTCTTTGTGTATGACCTTCTACAAGGGGTAAAAGACGTACTTTAATCAACTTCTTCGGCAAAAATTATGGAAGTATTCCACGACATATGAAGTTTAGCAAAAACCTGTTGAGGGAAGTGGTTAAAAATCCGTGACAGAGATTTAAATCTTATATTTCCAGTTAAATAGTATTATTTCACTGCCCCCACAACTTCAAACTTGGAACAGTTTTCGGTATTGACGTTATGATAATCTATATTTTGCTAAAACGGTTGAAAATATTGTTATTTTTATTCCCAGTGTTTAAGTGATTGTTATTTACTGTACTTAGAAGTTGACAAGCCGTGTTTAAGTTTGGGTTTTTTTTCCCACGGATTCGCAGATCTTTTCGGATTCTTAAAGGTAGCGAATACACAATTTTTAATTGTTTCTGATATTTCTTCCTTAATTGTTTGCGTGGAAAATTCATCATTCATCTTACTTTGACAAGTCATGTTTTATTTTTACTTAATGTTTACAATCTAAAATTAGAAACAGCCTACAAAATACTTTCGTGTTTTCCTTTTTTCGATCATTCAAGATAAGGATTCTTCGCTTCAATTTTTTCCAATATTCTTTGTCACGTACAATTTACGAGTGTAGCTCTTCGAGGACTTACTCTGTCGTTGAGACAGAAGATGTTTACTTTCCCCTTAATTAATATTATTTAACCCACCATGCATAGAAAAGTAGTTTTAATTTTCGTTGCTCCTTAATTATTTCCTATAACAGTTGTTCCAGCACCAACACAATTTTGTAATAAATTTTATTTCCTTTGCAGAAATTTTCGGCTTCTTGCCTTTTTAAATGTGGCTTTGAAACACAATTTTCAACCTTAGTAAAGCTCTTTCAAGACCACTCATAAAAGTTTAAATATCCCACCATATTTATGATGCCATGCATCTCATTCGTTATGTTAGTTATGTAACGCTTTCTTTAAATTCGAGAATTTCAGTTTATTTTGGGTTAGTTTTTACCCCTGGCTTTCTTGTAATATTCACCACAGTTTTCCTCTTGAATGTTTTATTGTCTTTGTGTGAATCGATCGTGACTGTCGTGTTTCAATTTTAAATATTGGAAATGTCAGCAACAACTTTCCCCAAGGTTGAAGCTGTCAAAATTTTCATTAGAAGCGTATACAAAACGCATATTATAGAAGTCAAACATGACTTGTTAACTCTTTATCACGTTCAAGGCACAGCTTTTAATCACACGTTGCTATAGTTTCTCAGTCCTTTCCCTAAATCTTTATTATCTTTTATCAAGAAGTCCAATTTGTCTTTTCATTCAAGTTCTGAGAATCTGGATTCACATTTCGATGCCTATGCTTCTGCCTAACGTTTGGTAAAACTTAGTTTGAATATAATTAGCCATCTGCTTGAAAGCAAACATATAAAAATAATAACATGATTTAGACTTCGACGCCATGAAAATTGTAAAAAATTGTAAAACTTCCGGTTTCTCATCATAATACCTGCATTACTGACTAAACTGGGTTCCCTTTGATCAGATATGATCTGAATTAGGTCAGAGATGTTTTCGCCTAAGTCGCTATTCGCACACCTGTTTTCTTTGTGAAAACAGAAAAAAAATCGTGCAAATAAATCCTGCAAAGCTCTCTTGGAAATATTTTTCCTTTTTTTTTTCCTCAAAGCAGTCAAAAATAAGTTAAGTTTCCTAAAGGTGGCTTCTTTTTTCTGAAACATTTTGGTGCAATTGTGCCGATTTTCACTCAAAAACACTTCAATTCGATTGTTTTCATATTATCCTCTTTTAATTTCCGCTTTTGAATTTTTTTTCCATCTCTCACGTCTGTTAAGTAACAAAAAAGTCTGCAAGAAATGCAGACGTCAGAAATCATTAAGAACTTAACGGAACAAGAAGTAATTTGTCATTGCAAGTCGATATATTCGAGGGAGAGAGAGCCTTGCAATATCGATACAGTAATCCAAGTAACCCAAATCGTCGTCTACGGAAAAGTTTCTTGACAACAATGGAAAAACTTTTGTACCGCCTTCTAGGTGGAAACATTAAAACAGTGTTAATATCGAGTTGTTTGTGACTATATTTAATTTTTTTTAATTTAAAGGTTTTAATGTAACAATACAGTTTGTCGCTAAAGTTTATTCCCTAAGGCGTATAGAAAGTTCGAAATTGCTGATCATGATATTAAAAATGTAAAACATCTCAAGATTGACCTTACAGTTTTGCACCTGTTTTATTTTGTCAGGTCAGTCGAAGACTCTAATTTTTCTGCGCTTTTCGCTGACTTAAAAGGTTGGAAGTTTAGTCTATGCCAGTGTTCTCGATCATGTTAATTACCCAGATGAAAAAATTTCCTCTCATGGGTTGTTACAGTTAAACTGCTTACTAGTTCATGATAAATGATCTCCGTGGTTTTTTTAAGGACACTAGCTAAGCTCGGATATGGTAGACTATGGAAAAACAATCAAGTTGGACAAGCCAGTGAAACGAAATTGTTTCTGTTCTCCGAGTGACGGTTTCTTTTCAGTCATTGCATAATCACACTTAACGAAGCAATATACTGGAGGAAGACTAGGCTCATTGAGCAGATCTGAGAGAGTAGCGCGATTTGTTGCGGCTTAGTTTCAGGAAGGCTTCGTTAAGTGGAGACGGGGATTAGGGACGTTGTTTAAGTAATTTGATGTCGCGCTTCAGCAAGGAGTCGGTTGGAAAAAATATTTTATGGATTGTAAGATCTGAAGATAGCTGAAAAAGAATCAGTACAAGGTGTTTTAAACTCCTGCGCGGTGATATTCGCGATAAACTGCCAAATTAAAAAAATGTACATCTGGGTTAATATTATGTGAAGAAGTATTTTTTTTTTAAGGCGGTGATTCTGTGAAACTTCTCATGAACTGGGCCATACATTAGTCAAGCGGCTGTTATTACAACACATCTATTCAGAAATAACCGACTGCGTTCTCTCTTCGCGCCCTCCAGCACCTCGTTGGAGCGGGGGCGCGTGTTGAAACGACGAAAAACTAATTGCTCCTGATGTAATAAACATGTAACTTTTTCTCACAGTATCGAAAATATTACACAGTAAACAGGTTATAAAAAACGTATCTGGAAGGATTTAACATCTTGATAATCAAACCACCAAGAGTCTTTGCAAATTTACAAAAAAATATGGAGAAGAAGATAGAGTGATCAATTCTTTTTGGAAGTTAAGGAATTTACCAGATAAATTTTACTTAACGGTCCGTTGTAAAACTCCAAGAGATAAGGAGGCTGAAAACTTAAATTGGTAGCAATGGCCCGGCATTCAGTTACGTAATTGAATTGCTCCACTTAATCTATCTTGCAGTTCACTGTTGTGTAGGATGATGCATTAAGATAGATGTGATAATACGAGATTAATAATCAATGATGTAAGACAGCAAGACTACTGATCTCGTAGCCGAAGGGTAAAGCTCTTGAAACAGAAGTTTGGTCGTAACGGCGCCATCATCTCTTAGTGTCTCGTGTTCGAGCTTAAATTAAGTTAACCATAGTTTAACCCATTAACTCTCAAGATCTGACTGTTAACTCTCCTATTTGGCTGCTACAAATTCCCTAATAAATTAGTTACAAGAATTTGGTGTTTTATCATGAAAACACCATCTACCTGATCAGCATGAGTATTCGCATTACTTGTTCAAAAATGTCTGTTATAGGTTAAGCATGTTTTCACGTAGACATAACAAGAGCCCGTTGTCGCTTTTTTTTTTTAATAAAACCATTCTTGCCTAAGGTATTTTCTTCTTAATTTGTGGAAACCCAGAGAAATATTTTTAATCGATTTAAACTGTGTGTGTGTGTGTGTATATGTTGGTAAGCCGAGGGGAAGGAAGTTCAGAAGAGAGGAGGGGGAAACAGAAGACACTCTCCGAGTAAATAGATGTAACAAAAGAGGAAGTGAGAGCTGTATCATTGGATCCCTTCTCGTGGTTTTGCTGCTTCCACGGGTTACTCGACTATAGAAATAGTTGAAGATTTGTGAGTTCTATGCTCCATGTTTCGCTCAAAATGCAACAATCTTAACTTTGCTAATGATTCACCGTGGCATAAGTGGCATCAGCGCTATTTATCTTATAACCATCAAGTTATTTTCTGACCTCTTTACGGTATAATTTTGCAGGAAGAAGGTGATTTTGCACTTCACGTGGCAACCCGGATAAAGAACACTGAAATAGTCGAAGTTCTCATGGAGAACGGAGCAAGCGTCAACATTCAAAATGTAAGTGAGTCAAATAAAAACTAAATTCTGGGTGTTTACTTTTTACTTTCTTTTGAATATGTTAAAAACCGCGTTGGTTAGAGAGAGCTTTGCCACAATTTGACGACCCTTAGAGGTTTAACCTGAATTTTTCGAATTCATCATCTGCCATCCAGTCTAATCTTCATCAGTGCTAAGTACTCTAGTTCCTTTTTGATTCGTGGATGCTTCACTTTTGTCTTTTTATCTCGTTGAACTAATTTTTCTAAGTTTTCATTTAGTTGAAGGACATTTTGCTCGGTGAAAAGGTGTTAAACGGACCATAATGGAAACTGTATACTTAATTCAATTTTTTTGAATAATGTATTTCCTCGAATAAGCACCCAGGCGCTTATTTGATATTTCAGCTAAGAGAAGGAGCGATTTTTGGAAGAAGAGCACTTAATCGAGGGATCGCTTATTCAATAGCGCGGGAATAGGACAAAAGTTAAAGAACAGATAACGTACATAAAGGAAGTCTGCGAGCACGTAGAGATAGAAATAACCGGAACGGAAAGAAACTAATCTCCTGTATTGATTCCGCTGTGGTTGAACCTTTAAAATTTTTATAGAATAATATCCTCTGAAAACCAAGAGGAATAAGGGCCAAGTGTTAAGAAAATTCTAAACAAACTGAACCATACAATTGTGTTACAGAGTGAAGGCCAGACCCCTCTTCATATCGCCGTATCCAACGAGGATGAGACAATGGTTGCCTTTCTCGTCAGCCGTAGTGCTAAAACTGATATTGCAGACAGTGTGAGTTGATGTATTTCTTTAATGATCTTCACGCATTTTGATTATTTCTTACTTATGATCTGCTGGAGGACAGGTAACTCAATGAAACACTCAACTGCGCCTCCTGTGCCAATTTTTTGGTCTCACCACATTTCAACGTCATCTGTGATCTATTGCTGAAGAGACACGCGGCAACATGGAGTGTATTTGGTAATTGTTATGGCATGGCACAATTGTACCACACATCATTTTTGCAAAGCCCGTGTCTCCGTAGGCATGCAAAGCACTCAGTCTTTGTGCTCGATACTGAGCAGTACTAAAATCCTTTTTCCTGATCTGTTTTTCGTCAAAAGGTTTTTATTTGATAAGCTGAATTTTGTACGAATTTTGATCAGTTCTTACTTATGATATATTGGGGGACAGACGCATAAATGATGTCATTATCAACGACATTTTCTTTTTTTTTTTTTTGTTCTTACCAAATTTTTTACGTCTGTCAATTTGCAGACGCAAGGCATCTTGGAATCTATTTGTTTATTAGAAAGCACTTAAAACATCGTGGAACCAAGACCAAAATAATCACAACTGTCAGTCAGATCAAAGATTGCCATCACAAAAACCCATGAAGGACATAAAGAGAAGGTGGCGGGAATTTTGAAAACCATCAATTGAGTCAAATTAATGGCTATTCCGGAATATTTTAGACACTCGCATGAAATTCGCTCCTCCTCTGAACAAAACATTTTCTTGCTCTATGTTTAGGAATCAGTAACTGCGACTGATCTAGCATCGCGTCTCGAGAACACAGCAATTAGCGAAAGGCTCCGAGAAAGAGTGCCAACACCTAGAACACCTGGAACACCAAGGCGACGACGAGTACTATCAGTAAGTATGGCTTACGTATCTTCTGATTGGTCACTTGCCGTAACTGGCTAACATTAGCCGATCAAGGTGTAAAGACTTTTTCATTCCAGCCAATGGATTGTCGACATATAACGCGTGTTTCGATTAGTGCCGGTCAAACTTTCACTTCACATCGCAGTCATTGAGTGAGTAACCGATGTCACTATGAGCTTTAACGACCGAAAATGTTTCATTTCTTATTGACATTTAATTTCCTGTATCTCTATTCATGATTTCTCGAGTTATTGCTGTTTTACCGCATTAAAGGCAAAGTAACTACATGTGATGGTTGCCATCTATCCCAAATAAAGTTTTATATTTACGTAAGGAAAAACCCCAGGCTGGTGCAGAACTTGATCAAGTCACTAACGGGAAAGAGTTTACACAGAGTTTCATAAGTTCATTCAGAGTTTCGGGGACATAAGCAGGATTTTTCCACCAAAGGCTGCAGCTAAATAAGCTTTTAACTGGCGGTTAGGGATACACCAGGTTACGGTATTGTATATTACTGTATTGTACTATTGCTTGGCTAAAAGGGGGTACAGATGCACCCATCCTCAGCCACGCCGTTTAGTTGACAGTTTTCTGCCAATACTCCCCAGTGGGGAGGTGATTTAAAACCGCAAGGACAACTGGTTGCTTTCGAGAATGTCCGGTGAGGTTGCTGTAACCGTATTTTTTTCATGATTGTGACACATCTTGCGTCCCCTCTGTAGAGCGTGATTGACTCAGTACTCCATGCGATCGCGACTGGAGATGTAGAAGACTTGAAGGAGCTTCTTGATGGTGGATATTTGGACGAGGATCTCCTCGAAACTAAATCGGTATGTCTACTTTCATTTTCTGGTACCAGAATCTCTAAGAAGCTTTCACTGACCTTCTCCGTCGCATGGTAAACTGGTTTTTCTACCACAGGCCTTTTCAATTGAGTGTTGAAAAAACCAAATCAAAGTTATTACAACGTTCAACTAGAAGAAGAGAAAATGGCCTGAAGTGTCAACGAGAACTCAAAATAAAAACAAGCAAAGCGCTGAAAGCGCGGGAAAATAAGTCATGGTTAGTGTTATTTTCGCATTTGATTGGTTGAGAGAGTGGTGCAAGTTTTCTGAACCAATCACAGAGCAGAGTAAAGCAAAACCAATGGATTACTTTTGACGCTCATTTGAAGATTGTTCTATTTGCTCAAGAAATTGAGACGGAATTAGCGGGCAACGAAGTGTTAGCAGTTTGAAGTGGCACAGAACATCTTTTAGCGCTTTTGTCTTGCGTAAACATATTTAATATCAAGTTTTTTTGCGTGAAATATTGGTTTTAAAGAAATACTCAATCATTGGTGAACATCGATATATTAACACTGACTGCGGTTCTTAAAGTGTTACTTTAGAAAAGCTCAATTTCAGAAGCTTGGCAATCCTTAGCTGTTATTTTTTAAAAATGATCATTCCCTAAAGATGCGAGTCTGTGAATTCTAAAGAACAAGCTTTTGTGGATAGGTTAATTGATAACTTTTAATTACCACCCTGCAGACCATACAAAAATGTTTGTCATCTTTCTTATGCAGGAGAATGGCGAAACACCCCTACATATTGCCATTAAACTGAAAAGCGTCGAAATTTGCAAAGTATTGGTTCAAGGAGGAGCTAAAACTGAAACTAAAACGGTAAGTTAAACGTCTTATGTGCGTTTGATTGTTGTTATATTCTGTCTAAGGTCTTCATAGTTTTTTTCGCGCGTGGAAATATTTAACTTTGTGTAAACCATGATTAAAGAAAATTAAATGACCAGGCCCAAGCCTTTCAATTTCAAGCAAAGATACCATGCCTTAATGATATCCACCTCCACCGTTCCCATGATAGGAGTTTTTTATCGAACACGGTTGTTACTGGATAGAGGGGGTAAGTTCCTAAAGAAATTGTGGTACTGCGCGTCGGTGGGAGAGTATAACAGGGTAATTAGTATTATCAGCTAAGTTGATAACGTAAATTGGCCTTCGTAAAGAGTTAAAAAAAATTGAAATTTCTAGCGTGTGCCCTTCGTCGGAGCGAATAACGAGGGACAAACGCTCGCAACGTCAGCTTTTAAACACTTTACGGTGGTCAATTTACGTTATCAGCTCAGTTAATGATGCTAAATTGCAGTTGTTACTGGTTGGTTATTTCTTGCGTCTCTGGGATCCCTTGAAAGCCAAAACTGTGATACGCATGCTAGCCTCACTTTTGTCCTTATTTCTTCGTTTCCTGTAGACTGAGGGAAACACCGCTCTTCACCTTGCCGCTGAGATAGGAGATATCAATATGGCAAGATTCCTTCAAGTTGTGAAAGCCAAAGCAAACGTTTCCAACGATGTACGGTTTGTCCTACAGTTCAAATCTGAAAAATGTCGGCTAAGTGACCTGGCGGCATGTTAATCAAGATTTCATTTCGCTTAGTTAAATAATTAGACGAATTAATCTTTACGCTGAGCTCTGTCAAATAACCTCAAATGCATGAACGAAACTTAATCACCAGGGTCGATGAAATTGATTTCCTAGGTTCGTGTATCGAGAGCAGCAATCAATAAGTATCCCCTTGCTTTGCATGTGCTGTGTTACCTACATTTGGGCCGGACCGTAACACGAGAAAAGCGTATCATGGCGTTGAATGCAACCCACGTTATTAACCAATCACCAGACACTTGTTAGCACGTGTCTTGGGATTGGTTAATCAAGTGAAAAAATGTTTTTCTCTTCGTAGAGTGCGAAAAATATGAAGAAATGCTTTTCATTTTAATGTCGTGAAACAACCAACTACAGAGTAGTGAAAATTGCCAAGAGAACCTACGAGAGATAAAAGGGCCAGCTATTTACACGAGGTCTAACCCAAACCAAGTAGCAAGTAGTGGGCCTCAGGGATTCTGTATAAGAGGGCTGGTCTAGTTAAATAAATGTCCTCCCACTGTAGCGTTCGGTCCTCTTTACACTGTTTACAAAAATAAATGTTCAGATAAAAGTTTCGACTAAACTGAAATTGGATTAGAACGCGGTTTTGTTAAACAAACGCTAAAAATTTGTTTCAATAACCGGCCTGAAGTGATTAGATTGTAATGCTAGTAAGCGCGGAACAGAAGTTTGCAAGTCGTGCATGGTGTACGTTTGTATCTGATATGCAAAGGCGGTAATGTGAGCACCATCTAACACCAGTTCAGTCCCAGATTACTTTAGGCATTCCGTTGAAGATAGCGCTAAACAAATCTTAAATCCGCTAATTTAACCTGACCAGTGTGCGTACTACTGGGTTTGCTTAAGGCCTCCCCCATCATAACAGTTTGTGTCGTGAGGAAACTTTGCTTTTGTTACAGGCGGGAGACACGCCCTTACACATAGCATGTAGAAAAAAACATGTGAATATTGTGGAACTGCTGCTGGGGAAATTTGGAGCTAACATCCACATCAAAAACAAGGTATTTTGTACGAGTAACTTGTTAAGAAAACATAAAGCACTTGATTATTGCGGAAAATTCGCAGTTACAGATTACTGTCCGAGGGACCTTTCAGGCCTTTCGAAGATTTTTAAAGCAGGAGATGGCTGAATCAGCAAAAAAATTCTATTAATATCTAAGTCTCTCAGATTTATGTTTCTATTTGGAATGATCCTTTTCAAAGGCGACGAAGTATTCGTTGTTATTACTTTTGGTTTTAGACAACAGTGCGATAAAACGTACGTAGAATATTTGATTCTAGGTATAGAATCCAGGTCCATTTACATCCCTTACGTCCTAACATTGGTATGCAAGCTCTCCCTTCTGTTATCTAAATATTTCCTTTGGTACTTAAAGGGTGAATTGTCTTAAGTTTGCAATCAATTCCCTTGTTCTCGTGACCTCAATGATTGATTCAGGGGAGACACTATTGGGAGAAATAAGATGTTCGTCATTCACGGCTGGCGTGAGGGCATCTTGGTTTTCCGCGAGTCAGGCCAACCATTCGTCACTCTCACGGCTAATCTTAATGCCGGAAACTTATTTCAATTAAAATAGCTAAAACTGACAATTTTTATCCTCAGTTTGAGCTTTATTTGTATGATGTTCTGGTAAAGTAATATCTATTTATAATTGACTGTTTCTATCAGATTGGCGATACACCTTTGTTTGTTGCTGTCCGAGTAAATTGCACACAGGCGATCAAGGACCTTTTGCATACTTCACAAGCGGATCAAGACGTCAGATCTGGTAGAACGGTGAGTGACGTAACATTGTCTGGTAATCTCCTTTCTTTGATCTTAACATCCTTAAAAAAAACAAAACAAAACAAAACCAGGAAAGTTCAAGGAGGACTTCTCGATTGCTTGAGCCAATTACTGTGAGGTACAAAACTACTCATTAACCCTTTAACTCCCAGAAGTGATCAACATGAAACTTCTCCCCATAATGTTCATACATTAATCAGCAAAAAGGTAATGAGAATATTCAAACTTTTCAGGTAAAAGCTGCTATCTTGATCTAGCACCAAGTTCTCATAACTAATTTAGCAGCTAGTGGGGAGAATTAAAAATCAGATCTTGGGAGTTAAAGGGTTAAGCGAAGACTACAATATGTGAGCCTACTGAGGAAGAAGAAGGCAAACGTGACCATATGATAAACCAAGAAGAAATAACTGACTATAAACATCTATGCAGTAAACGGAAAAACATACAAGAAACGTGAAGAGCCTTGTAAGAAACAAGGACAGTTCGGGATGGAGAAAATTGACACAATGTAAATGACTATAACATATGGATGCAGAGTCAATAATTGACTAACAAGTACCAGGGATGGTTAAGGATGAAGAGGATTTAATCGAATCGAACACGATGTACTTGGAAAATGTTACAGGTTGAATTTTTAAAGATTGGTTAACTGTGGTCTTGTAACCCAGCTCCACAGGGCTCTGCGTCCCGCTGTGGTCCTGTTCTTGGTTGACTTATGTAAGACTTTATTTTATAGAAAAATGGAGACACTTTGATGCACATCGCAGTGAAAAGTAAGGATCCAGAATTGGCCAAACTCCTGATACAGTGGGGGGCTCCACCGGACGAAAAGAACGTAAGTTGACCAACATCAATTATAAAAGGAGTGATACCTCGTAAGAAGAACGGGATACTTTAGTGGTACAGCAATTTTTCCTTCGGAAAACCAAAACCAAATTAATCACAAAAGCCAATCGGAGCGAAGATTGACATCATCAACCAATAAGAACTCCAAGTAGAAACAGGAAAACTGCGTGAAGCGCAGGAAAACACGAGTGTCTAAATCAGGATTAGTATTAGTTTTTAATCTGATTGGTCGAGAAGGTGGCGCGAGTTTACCAGACCAATCACAGTGAGAAGTTTAACAAAACCAAGAAAATAATTGGTTACTTATGACACTCAATCGAAAACGGCTTGAATAAATGGGTTTGGAATCTAGTCTTTCTCGATTGAATCTCCTGGGGTTGGTTATTGTTTAAGTTGGAGGAGAAAGATCAAGATTAAAAAAAACTCTACCAGGAAGGAAGTTTTTTAAAATTCAGACGAGGGCTAAGATCGCTTTTTCCAACGATCGAACAGAATATAGATAATTGCCATAAGGATTCATTTCAGTTTTCTGTGGGCGCTAAAAGCGCATCTGACGCGTATGAGGGAAGTCTTGGTCAGACTAACTTCCTGAACAATCAAGCGCGATTTGTTCTCTAATGCGCCAGTGGTGATAGTGGTGACTTTTTCTGGTTTCTCTTTCGTCTGTGTTGTTTTGTAGGATGAAGGAAAAACTCCATTACATTTAGCAGCTCAAAAAGGTGACGAAGAAATGGTGAAATACCTACATAGCTTGAAAGTGAATCCCAACACACTTGATAACGTAAGTAACTGATGTGAAGAGTGGAAATGTTGTATGGAAGCATTGAGGGAAATGAGAGGCAGAATTAACATTCAAGAATGAAGAGTAGCATGTAAATAGTGCCGTCAATCACTTGAATATGAGCCGTCTACCAACTGAATTTGAATGTTTTGGTGGAGCAGGGAACCCGAAACCTGGAGAGCCCAAAGGGAAATTAAATTCGTTAACAAAGACCTTCAATCAATCAATCAATCAATCAATCATTTTATTTAGTGATAAAAGCAGGTTAAAAAAGTGTAGCCATGATGCTGATGTGGACCTACAATTAACTAGTAAAATGTGAAATAATAAACAAAATAATTTGTAAAATCACCCTATGGTATTTGAATTCAGTACAAGTCGATAAAATGAGGTTCATTGACAAATAAAAGTTAATCTAATCTAGAAATTTACGTACAGTATAATAATACTTAAAAATATACAAAATCTCGGTCTTTCATAGGATTGAATTATTACCAGGACTCGCAATGTTATCGTTTAGACACCCATAATTTAGTTTTGTACTCGGAAAAAATTTTCGAGGGTCTCACTTTCTTACTTTTACGTACAGGACGACATGAATCCGCTTCACTTGGCAGCCAGCGCTGGGCATCACAATATTGTGACATTTTTTCTGGAAAAATTTAAAGTGGACGTGTCTTCCAGAAGCAGGGTAACAAAATATTTTCATAATGAACTACAAAATCTACTCTCTAGTTTCACACACATTTTAAAACTAAACATTAAATTGTGCAAGCAAAAGTGAATCCACTCTTCGAAAAAACGCTTAAGTTAAACTGGGTCAAACGGTTATGCTCTAACTCGGATGCTCCATAGCAGTACATACCAAAATCGCTCCTAGCCGATGTTGGCGGTACAGAACTGTTTAAATGTAAATATGATTATAATCTCCTTGACCTCGACAACCATCTTCCTGCTTTTTAAAAACAAATCATCTTTTACTGGCAAGACATCGCAACGGCCACACCTAAAAATAAAAGTGAGGTTCTCTCACAGCAAATCTGGAATAACCGATTTTTAACTGTGAATAAGAAAATGGTATTCTTTCCTCACTGGTATCAAGCAGGAATAAAACAAATCTCGGACCTTTTTGATTCCTGCGAGGGCCATTTCCTTCCATTTAATTCTTTTTGCAATAAATTCAATGTAAAATGTAACTTTTTACAATATTACAGCATTCTTTCTTCTATTTCCCAAAATTGGAAGAAATTATTGCAAGAAAGTTCCAAAGACCCAGTTACGCCTTCCACCTCAATCTGTTCACTGTCGTGCCAGACAATATACAGTATGCTGCTTAACCTTGAAGATCTACCTCCACCAACTTTTGAGAAAAAATTTTTAGCGTCTGGCGTCGAGAAAACTGACTTGACTAAAATCTACCTCCTACCATTCAAAGCCACGAGAGAAATTAAATTGATGATGTTCCAATACAAAATCAGTCACCGAATTTTACCAACGAATAGCTTGTTACACAAAATGAGAAAAGTTGTCTCGCCCTCCTGTCCCTTTTGTCCTTCTGAGTGTCAGACCCTGTGGCATTTGTTTATAAACTGCATGCACGCAAGTTCTTTTTGGAATAGATTCCAGGATTGGTACTCAATCTCTAGTAATACGAAACTGCTGCTGTCAGAACTAAAGGTTATGTTCGGAATTATTCGCTGTCACACCTACTGTTTAGCCCTCAACCAACTCATTATTTTGGGTAAATATTTGTTATATGTTAACGCTTTAAAAACCATAACGTACCAATTCGATGATTTTGTCTCACTTGTGCGCGAAAAAATTAATCTAGAAAAATATATTGCTGTCACTGGTAATAAGGAGAAGGAATTCAGGAAAAAATGGAAATTTTTTTGTCTTTATAAAATTTGTATTGTGTCCTTTTTCTTCTCAACTTTTGTATTTTGATTTGTTTCTTTTCGCTACCTATTTATTTAATAATCTATTAAATTCTAGAAAATTAATACCCTATGTAGTGTAATTAACAAACAAAATTCTTATTAGTGACTCGAACAATTAACATGCAAACAATAACGCAAATAGATCAACTGTAATTCAATTTGACTAGTGTAATTGTATTGTAATATATGTATTGTAAGTAGTGCAAGTTAATGTAGTGTAAACATCGTGTAAGGGCCTATTTACACGGTACGACTTTGTCGCATGCGACAAAGTCGTGCCGTGTAAATAGGCCTTAAGAAGTAAGTATAATGTAAGTACATATGTAAGTATAATATATAGAAAAAAATAAAAATAAAATGAATAAATAAATTTTTAAAAAAAAATGAATCCACGCGGCTCCTAGGTAGATCTACAGGTCCTTTCTTATCAGAAATAGAGAGGTAATTGTCCTATGATCCGCTCGAATGAGGCTGCCTGATACGTTTAAGCTTTCCCATTACCTGTTTGCTGGGTAATGTATGGATATTATAGGGAGAAGTTACATGTTAATCACTTGTGGGAGTTTAAGGGCTAAGAAAGCTGTCTGTGAACAAATTTGTTGCTCCTTATTGTTCTTCTTTAGGATGGCAGTACCTTGCTTCATCAGACGTGCATGGCGGGTCAATTGGACGCCTCCAATGCCTTGATAAAGAAAGGTGTCCTTCTACTCATGCCTAATAAGGTAATGCGATATCCTATTTTAGATATTACTGGCTTTCACACGGAGGGTGCAATTTGGTCATGTCATTACGGTACCCGCAACTTTGCTCCCGGGTTCAAGTTTAACACTCTGCCAGAAAAATACGTGGATCTGGGATCGTTGGTCCTGAATTTAACCCTAAAACGTGTTCCGAAAAGAGACTCCTATTGAAAATTTTCCATTCCAGCAACAATTTTTATGTGATTCATTCAGATATTTGCTTTTTACAGAGTGGGGGTTTATGTATCCACGAGGCGGCGAAGAAAGGTCACTTGGGTTTGGTTAGAATGTTGATCGAAAGAGGAGTTCCTGTAAACGTCCAGAACAAGGTGAGAATAACGATCACCTTTTTGGCTCATTCTTTCAATAGGCTGTTCATCAAGACAAGAAAATTCCTTCAAGGTTCTTTTCTTTAACCTTTCAGTTATAGCGGTCAGACACGACGTAAAAACTGTACGGGAGAGGGGTGACTGTGATAAAGCACACAGTCTTCCTATGAGCTAAAGATCTTGAGATCGAAATAACTCTTTTTCAGAGTTTTCTTTTTTTTGTTGCTTGTACAGAGGGATCAACGTGAACGTAAAATACAGTAAAGTAGTTTAAATAAGTCAGTCCATTTTGGTGATGTAATCAGCTGTGTTTACCCTTTATATAACGGATCGAGACTTTGGTTCACCATAAAATGCTACGATACTATGATGTGAATCGTGTTCAGGGGTCATAAGGATTGCTCGAAGAAAGAATGAAACATATTGATAATCGTTTGGTGGGTTAGACAAAGTCCAAAGGAACGAGGACTGTTGACGATAAGGAAGATTGGCACTGATTGCAAATAATAAACTAAAACAATTCGGATAATTTTCTCAAAATTTACAGACCTTGACTTAGATATTTCTACGTTTTAAAACTCTTGGAATCTTAAGAGTCTGGTAAAAGAATCGTTAGTGGTTTTATACAAAGCGTTCATTCTTGGCTTCACTCTTCTTATGTCTGACAGCGTAAATACACTCCACTTCATTTGGCTTGTCTCAGTAAGAAACATCAAGTTGTGCAACTGCTGATTGGACACGGGGCGGATGTCACAGTTGACGGTGGTTTGGTAAGGCTTTATAAATATTTCTGTTACTTTACAGCGCCACTTGGTATCGAAATACCAAAACCAGAGAAATCACGCTCAATCAAAGGAAAGGAAAACTTCACTGGGAATCAATTAGATCCCAGAGCAGAAATATGTAACCGATCAGAGGATCGGAAAACTTTGAGTAGTCAAGTTGGGATAGCTTGAGTTCTTCATTTGATTGGCTGTTAGGCTGGTTTGAGTTTTATCACCAATCACAGAGCGCGGGAAAAAAGAGATACCATTTCAGTTCCCGAAATTATTTTGGATACTCAGTTAAATTTTGCTCTGAATTTCTTTGCTGACTTACAGTTAGGTGTTTTGTTCATCAGTTCAGGTTCGAATTTTTGAGATGTCATTCACATTCCGTAAGAAAGCCGGCACTTGCTGTCAATCACTTTCTCGGGCATCTTCTGACACCTTCTATCTTCGTTTGTGATTTTGTACTGAGATAAGGCATGTTGGCCTGGTTTAGTTGAAAAAGAATTCTTAAATTCTCAATATTGGAATTTTAGGCGAAAGAAACTCCACTGCATATGGCTGCAAAAGTTAAAGGAGGAGAAAAAGTTGTGGACGTTTTGATCAAAAGTGGAGCTGACCCAGACTCTGCAAAGGACGTAAGTTTCTCATGAAA